CTCGCCCCAGGCCAGGGGCCAAAGACAGCCCGCCCCAAGCAGGGCAACACCCCCCAGGGGCTGGCTGGTACACTCCCCCTCCAATTTCCCCCACCCCAGTGTGGTCCCCTCACCTGACCGAGGACTATGTGGCCAAGGACAGCATCTCCAATTCCAGCACCGCCACTTTTACCGCCCCCCCTCCCCGATAAGTGGTCATACTCTAATTTGAAGTAGGTGTCACTGCCCTCCCCCTTTATAAATGGCAAAGGTAACCTAAAAGCTGTGATCAGACTCCTCCTAGGTCTAAACAGCTTTTGGCAGAAGCATTCAATAGATCAAAATATGTGGTGCATTTAGGATGTTGGTCCTCTTGGACATGCTACCACTGTTAAGTGTCATCAAGTAGACAACTCAAAGTGACCTTCAACAATCCATTGTATTGGTGATCATCTTCTCTGGCCTCTCCAAGGAAACCCAGACCTGCAGGTGGCCGGGCACGTGTCCCATCTCTCACAGGGGTGGCCAGCGGGCGCGCGTCATCTCCTGCGCGGGTGGCCGGCAGGCGCTCATTATCTCCCGCGCAGGTGGCCGGTGGCCACCCGCTTCCCCCGCCGCCGCCATCTTGGCTCCAAGAATTCTCCCCAGAACAAGTCCACTTTGCGGTAGTGTGGCGGCTCTGTTGCACCAGTCTTGGGGAGGCCCTGTGCCCACCATCCATCCTGGGCGAGGGATTCCATAGGTTCCGGCTGTGGGAGCCTCATGGAGCTGCCACAGCGGTGCAGCACAGTGCAGGCTCTGTGGGAGGGGATTGGGAGCTGTGAGACTCACCCATTCCTCCTTGGGAATCCTTGAATTCCTGTTGTTGAGCCTTGATCTTCACTGAAGACCAGTCATCAACTGTTTAACTGTTCAATTACCAATAAACAGAGGTCGGTAGAAGGCCATAATGGCCCTGCTCCAAGTGGTCCGCTGCTCCTGCAGCTCACCATGTTGTCTCTGCTTCCACCGCCATCTTGGATCCATTGCCATCCTTACTTTTAAGCAGCATTCTGACCATACATACATTCAAGGCTTTTATTTGTTATTTTGGTAGTCTGTGACTCTATTTCATATTCTTTGCCAGCACCAGAATTCAAAGGCATCA